AGAGAGAGAGAGAGAGAGAGAGAGAGAGAGAGAGAGAGAGAGAGAGAGAGAGAGAGAGAGAGAGAGAGAGAGAGGAGATTTCGCAGATGGCTTCATCCGGATAAATCTGGCAGCAATCTTATGTTATTTAGTCTGATCGAACACAACAAGATTGCATCCGGATTCATCCTTGAATGGTCTGTGTGTGTGTGTGTGTGTGTGTGTGTGTGTGTGTTCATACAGGCGTTCATATGCTTTTCAGATAAATGGATGTGCCACATAATGAGACAGAAAGGAAGAGAGACAGTAGTAGATAGAGAGAGCAGACGTCCCTGTGAGTACGCTGGGCGGATGGAGGTAGAGGTAGAGGTAGAGAGAGAGGTAGAGAGAGAGAGAGAGAGAGAGAGAGAGAGAGAGAGAGAGAGAGAGAGAGAGAGAGAGAGAGAGAGAGAGAGAGAGAGAGAGACTCTGGTTCCTTTACATAGGATTCTTGTTGTATCCGGTGCTGTGACCAGATACATTTCGTCTGTATTGGGACCATTACCAGTGCCGGATGCATTTGGAAGTGTCATGCAGTGGAGCAACAACTGTTGCCAAACACACCCACATACAGACACAGATGGACAGACTGGGAGAGAGAGAGAGAGAGAGAGAGAGAGAGAGAGAGAGAGAGAGAGAGAGAGAGAGAGAGAATTGCAGGTATGGTTTTGTGTGTGCAGATGCGTCTGTAGCTTCACTGCTGGCTACCTGGTGGACAGCGCGGCTCCGACGCAGACTAAACATCCACGTACTCCAAACTGCGCAAATGAAGAATGAATCACAATGCAGACTGCAGCTGGGTTATACCCCCAGGGGAAGGACTGGACTGGACTGGTACCGACATTGGACTGGACTGGACTGGTACCGACATTGGACTGACTGGACTTGTACCGACAGTGGTACTGGACTGGACTGGTACCGACAGTGGTACTGGGCAGGACTGGACTGAACCGAATGAGCACACGGCCTATGGGATCAGGCTACGGCCTGGTCCCAAAAGTCGAACATGCAAAATAGCCAAATAGCCCTCGCTCTAGGCCAGGGCAGCAAGAGGCACGCTGGAGACAAGGTTCCCCGCATCCCAATTACTTAGTGCATTCTTGAGGACAATCATCGTGTGCAAACACCCCCCCATCCTACAAACCGATACCTCTGCGAAAGTCCAGGAGTTGCTTCTATCATCGGACTGAGTGCGAACCAATCAGAGACTAGTGATGTAGCACCCCTGAAACGATTGCAAAATGCACATCGCCTTACCCCTCCCATCTTCTCCTGCTACTGCCATGAAAATAGTCACATCGTCAACAATCCAAAAACTGTGTTCTAACTGCCTTTCCATACCCAAGCCCTGAAGGAACCTCTTTTTTTTTTTTTTTTTTTTTTTTTTTTTTTTTTTTTAGGAACAAGGCTCCAATCTATTCGTGGGGAGCAGCACGTGCTGGGAACCGGGCCCAGCGTCCCATAAGGAATCTCCATTCCGCATAAGAACAAAGAATACACGCAATAGACTGGAGCAGCTGGAGACGACAGTTAGCTGTTAGGGTGTGGTTGTATCACCCCGCCTAACAGGAAGTAGCTGGTTTGAAAAAACAAAACAAAAAAAAAAAGGGTCTTCCGAAACCTTCTTACGAGTGTCGGGACGAAACGCATAGAGGTGTTTCACCTCGATCCTCTCATGTGAGAGTTGTGTATGTCTGTATGTTTCTTACAAATTTCAAAGCTCTCCTTTTTAATTCTGTCTTCACTGCTCTTCAGACTTCAGCGTCATCGAGGGTGTGGTTGGCATCGTGTTTTTTTTTTTTTTTTTTTTTTTTTTAAGAAACACCAGTATTCACAGCTAGCAGTGTGGTTGGAACCGTCGTTGTCTGCAATTGCGCTAATGGTCTGTGTTGCCACAGCTGTCAACCCCTCCATTTTTTCTTTTTTTCTTTTTTAATAACAAAACAGTTGAAAACACCCTTCAGGCTACGAGGGGTGCTGATATGAGCAGACACCACTAGCACCATGGGGGAGGCTCCATCTATTGGTGGGGAGCAGCACATGCTGGAAAGCGGGTCCAGCGTCCCTTGTACAACATATTATCCTCTGTGTGAAGAAATAAAAAAAGGTTAACTGCTTGCCCGCATTCATTGCCCTTGGGACCCAGGGGAATGACTGCGGAGGACAACCCCTCCTAGTAGTCCAAATGATTATCAAAGAAAAAAGTTCCTTCCTTAAATGAAAGCAAACTCAAAGGGTACTACAGGAAACAAACGACCAATTGCAGTCTTTTTTGCAGACGCTTAGCCCTCTCTTGACCTTGTGGTTTAGGATAATCTACGCTGAGTCGCTGATTTCGATGGAATCCGATATAGTAAATTAATTCTGGTGCAATCTAATCATAACCATTCAAAAGTGACCTGCGTTTGGTTTGCTGCTTTCAGGTTTCACTGGGAGAAGCAAGGCACATATGACTTTTTGCTGCAAACACAGCTGAGACCACTTAACTTGACGAAGGAGGAGAAAATAAAGGCCCGGCGATATGCAATCAAGGTGGCTCTTCCAATTGTTCGGGGAAGGTGAGTTAACAGCGATGATTTAGTAAAAATGAGTTAACAGCAATGATTCAATAAAAACTGACTGATTATTTTGGTCTCCACTCTTGTAACAAAATTCAATTTGGGCCTTCCCAAAAAGGTCCAATAATTTTATACAATTTTGTGTCGGACTCCGAGAGTTTATTCGCAGGGGAGCGGTTCAGTTTTGTCGTGGAGAAGATGGATGGGACCGCACCTGACGTGGTCTCACTGGGATTGATTGGCCATGGGATTGGTGTGTCATCCTTCTTGGGGCATTGGGAACCAAATGAGGTACAAAACCCAGTCCCAGTTTCAAAGGAAACTTTTTGAAATAGGTTGAAAAGCTATGCTGTGGTCATTATTATGCTATATTAATAAAAGTATTAAAAGATGCGTTCGTTCATGAAAAGCAAGCGGTAAAATTGGGAGGAAAATAAACTCCGGAATCCGGATTTAATTGTTCAATTTGTGCAGACGGAAATTCGGGCGGGCGCAATGGTCAGTTGTCCGAAGACTCCGAGCTAAGTTACAAGGGTTCCAGTAGGAAAAAGGACATTTTACTTAGTATCCAGAAGTTTTATACTGTTTTAATTTTTAAGTTGGATTACTTAGTATCCAGAAGTTTTTTACTGTTTTAAGTTGGATTGGCTGGGGGGATCTGAAGAGAGAACTTCAAGCCTGGGAGATGTGAAATGGTCAAGAGGGGAAGTCTTAGAGCAGGAAGAACCATTGAGAAGAGACTTTCCAACTCATGAATATGGCCTACCTCACTGGCTGTTCCAGTGGGGGGGAGGCTTGTGGAGGGCCGCGGTTTTAGGTTTTCTTGAACCTATGCACTGTGAGTCTGCCACATCTTTTAACTCTCGTAGTGATGATTGCGGCAGGATTGTTGATTTTTTTTATTTTTATTTTTTTTTCGTGCTTTTCCAAGTTCGCTGCCACAATGGTTGGAGTTGGCTTGTCTTTTGTTTTGTATTTAATTTAGCGATTGTGGCAGTGTCGTTTATAGCTGCAGTGTTTAGTGGGTGCCCCCTTGACTTTGTTGGTCGGTTCTGTCCTCAAAAGCTTACAATTAAATTTAATAAATACATCCTTCTTCATCGTACCTACGTCTGTCACTTTATTACTTCAGTAGATCTCCTGCTATTCAATGAATTTCATCGATAATAATTACAGAGTCCTCGATTTCATGATCGACGTCTCCAGTAGAGACTGATCATGAATTTTTAAATTCATATTAAGTAAAGGAGTGCTAATTTACTACTAAAGATGGTTTTGTTTCTGAATTTTGCGATCGTACATCTGATTTTCGCTTCAATCCTAATTTTTAGTTCGTCAGAATTGGCACATAATTTCCTGATTCATCCCCTGATTTCGGCATTCGGAAATCAGAATTTGATTCTGATCCTTAAAACTTGATCTGTAAATTTCGCCGTTTTTTAAATTTCAAATCCAAAATGACCTCGTCGTACTCATGTTCGTGTTTGGATCCCGATATTATATAAGATCTCAAGATTCTCAAGTGTCTAAATTTGTGGTCCTTAAATGGCAATTCCTGACTTTTGAGTTTGAAATTCTTGTTGCTGAAATTCCGCCCTATAGAGCAACATATTAGGGTCCTGTAATCACTTCGTAATTTGTATTGTAATTTTTCTCGATTTTCGCTGGTCGTGGATAGCACACCGCGATTTAGAACCGGGGGGCGGTTTTCTCCTACTTACCCTTCTGTGTTGGGGTTGCACAGGCAGGGGGGTGAGTGGTTGGCTGGGGGATACAAAGTCTCCCGCTGGTGATGGGCCTGATGGGCCTAGCTGGTAGGATGGGAATAGGGCACAGCAGCAATTGAGATGATAGCTCCACTGTAGTAAGGTTTGCGAGAGTAGGGGTAAGGGGGAAGGAGGGGTGGTCTTGGTGTGTTGTGCATGGCCGGCGTTGGTAGGAGTTATAGAACCTGAAGTTGGGGGCCCCAGTGGCGTTTGGCAGGTCACCCATCGCCCTGCTGAGGCCGTCACGCTCAGAGGCTCAGGGGCGAACGACTCTGGCCGGCGCTGGGGTTCGGTTGTGCTGCCCTTCAACCCGAGCTAGGCCGGGGCATGAGGCCTGGTCGAAAGATCAGGCGAATTGTCGAGCCTGGGTGGAAGGCTTTCCAGTGGCTATAGGGTGGGTAGTGCTGCCCTGTAGCCTACAATGTTGGGGGTGTGAGGCTTGGTAGTCCTGGTTTCGAGGATTGGCTATGGCCGCTATGCCCAGTTCCGCTTTGACATCATCACTGACAGAAGCTATGTGCATTGTGAGTGGATTAATACCCTCACCTCTTGCAGAGGGGAAAGGATCCAACAGTTTTGTTGGATACCAACGGGGCCTGCGTTACCAACCGGGCCACCTGTGTCACCTTGTGGTTGCCTGGGCGACCCGGACGGGCAAGGGCCAGGAAACTTAGGAAAGGTCCCTGTGAAAAAAAAAGGGAAAAAATAAAAATAAAAATCCAAAAGATCCGAGAAAAACTTTTTTGGGGAAGTATATGGGAGGCGCAGCTACTGGCAAAATGCTCGACCTTTGCGTTAGCCGCCCCCCCTCCCAACGGCAGGCCCACCCTACTCCATGACCACCGCCTATTAGGACGGGGGGCAACATGCATCCCCTTAATTGTGAGAGGTGTAGCTATGCTTGCAGGCAGGGGCCCCCTAACAACCATTTCGTCAAAATGGACATTTTTTATTTTTTGAACGAAATTGAAACTGAGTTTTTTGGCCGAAAACTCGTCAAAATTTGCTGTTCCTGCTGGAACCCCTGGCTGTACATGGACCTAGCTTGAGACCAAGCACCTCCAGGCAGGACTGCCTGGAGGTACCTGGTCTCAAGCTAGGTCCATGTACAACCAGGGGGTGACCCTCAGGAACAGCAAATTTTGACGAGTTTTTGGCAAAAAAACTCAGTTTCAATTTCGTTGAAAAAATAAAAGATGTCCATTTTGACGAAATGGGCTTAGGAGTAGTGGTAGGTAGATTATAGTGAAAGGTGTATTGAGAGGGGGACAAAAAAAAAAAAAAAAAACTTATGGTTCTGGCTCCTTACCATTCTGGGGAGCGGCAGTCCGGTTCCTATTCCACCGGCAAGTCAAAAAAATTTAGATGAGTTACACACCAAAGCTCCTCCCCATTATGGTTGGGAAGCCCGAGTGGACGGCATTGATTACTCCCTTTGTGAAGGATGTACCACCCCTCGCCCCTGCCTAAGTTAGCCTATTTGCTAAATCCTTCTGGGGCTAAACTTAGACTGACTGATAAAAAACTTTTAACCCCTAAAGGTCCCCTTACTTAAAGGCCTGCCCCTTTTTGTTCCTCTCAGCCTCTTAGCTGTCAGATTTATGGTAAAAGATCTGGACGTGCATGGTGTGCCATTTGCTGTCCACTTTCTAAAACCCTAAACCCTAGGAACTTGAACTTAGGCTCTACTGGCCGCTGTGCTAATACCCTATGCTTTTGTGTGCCCTATTCTCTTTTGGATCTAGTGAACCAGGATCTTGATAATGCCGAGTTTCTTAGGGCGTCGCCGCACGAAACGAAAAACGAAACGAGTGCATCTTCCTGCAGAAAATGGCCAGGTTCCTCGGATTGCTATAAATAGTAACGAGTGTATTTTGCCACCTTTCCTAGGCAGATGGACTCGTTTCGTCCCTTAGTCAACTTCTTCGGCTCGCTGTAACTTCTTTAAGCCCTAGGTTGTTCTGTTGCTATGCGGGGTAATTGGGCTGGGAATAGTCTACTTCTTAGGCTCGCTCTATGCGGGGTGATTGGGAGGGGAAGAGGGGAATTATGGGGAGATCTGTGAGCTGGGGAAGGTTTTGCGGTTCTGAAAAGAGGGGTGTAGGTCTGTGGGCGAGAGAAGGAAATGTGAGGGTATTTCCTGTGATAAGGACGGGACTGTGTTTCAGTTGGAGGGAGAGGGTTTAGTTGGTGTTGGGTATATATGGGATGTGTTGGTAGACGATGTGGAGAAGATCAGGTAGACTTAAGTTTCCTCTTCTCCTGTGATTAGTGCATGTGTGGGTGAGTTGGGTTGGGGGTTGGATTGGGGTGTGAGTTGTGCGTTGTTGGGGTTTTGTTCTTGGTTAATTGTTGAGGGCCAGATTTAATTTAACCAATTAGGGAATTTTAATCTGTCTCCTGGTTGTCCTTCGCTTGAGACTAATTTGCCACTGCCTAGCTTGCGGGTTGAGAATATTTTAATACTTTCTTCTTTTTTGTCAGGTAGGGTCTGGATTTGCTTTAGTGTTTTTTAAACTTATTTTCCATAGTACATGTACTTCTGTTTCGATTATAAGGAGTGTTTCTGAGGTCCTGCTTAGCCCTGGTGCCTACAACCGCTGTGCGGTCAAGCTCACCCTATATGCAGCGATGACAGTAGGAGGGTGGTAATCGTGAGTGGTAAACACTCAGGTAGGGTTGTGGGAGTAGGCGTGCGCAAGGGAGAAATAAAGAGAGAGGAAGGTTGGGAGGGTTTCTCATATGGAATAAGGAATAACAACCTGCCCACTTTCAAATTATTTCCCAAATTTAAAGTAAAAGATATTTTTTCTTAATTTTTAAAATTTATAAATTTTATTCTTTTATTGATGTTTGGCCTGGCCGGGCAAGTGGTCCCGGACCACAGTGAGTAGAAAGAGGCAGAGTTCTAGCCCCCAATTGGCATGCATCCTCTATCATAATGACATTGTGCAGTATGAGTTGAGTAACTTGAGTTACATGAACTCACTTTGGAAGGACAAAGAGCCCGACGTTCATTGCACATGTTTCTTTCATGGATGATGTGGCGATGGCTATCCTACTGAATAGGAAGAGCCTCAGCCTGAGGATGTCAGATTATGAAAAGCAGAGGAGATCTTCGCCAGTTTTGAGAAGAGCTATGGCGACAAACTCCGGCTCTTGCGACGGATGATGACAGCGACACACAATTGATTTCATTGCACTTTATACAAGTCGGGAACCGGGCCCAGCGTCCCTTAAACCACCAGTACTTGGCCCAGCTATCGGCCGCGGAAACAAATAGAGTAGAAATGTTTCTAGTTGGATGAATTTGGGCGCTCCTGTAGTGGCCCGTACGTTTCCTAAAATCGCGCAACGGGCACGACTTTAGGAAGTATTGGTGGTTTAACAATGTTGTTGTGCTCCAGGTTAGAGTGATATCCCAGTCCAACTCGCAGAAGTCACGGGTTCGAATCCGGGTAGTGAAAGTGGCAAACCCTTTTTCCAACTACCCACGGGCATACTTAGGGTAGAACGTAACTTCAGTTAAGTTACGTATTAGAGGTAGGATTCTGTTAAATTAATGTATCTCACACTAATCACATCCAGATTCAGTCTAAGATTTGTTCGTGGAGTATGACAAATATCGAACCGGGTTATTAATAACCAATCCAGATTGAGGTAGTCCTACCTCAATCTGACTGGCGTATTGAGTACTAGAAGGATCATTGTGATGGCTCTTGGATCAAGGAAGGTTGGGGAGGAGGTGATGGCGCCATGACATGTAAAACTCTAATCATCTTCTTCTTTAAGTTCTTCTATGTTACCAACTTACCATTTGCTACTTATTTTTGTGAGCAGCCAATCCTGATGTACATCTTCAAATTGCAACCATGAGGAAATTCATCTGCCTACTGTCGTCTCTTCGGAAATAGACCACACACATGCATTGGCCTATCTAGTTGTATTCGGCCCAAAACTGGGGTGGATAATCTGATTCAGCGCTAAAAGGACCCTGTACCTGGCCCTGACTTGGCACAGAAACTCAACCAAGTAGGGACTAAAGTTAACCACTCTGCTCAGACACAATATTACACAATGTCATTACAAAATGGCCATGCTTCGCTTCTCTTCCTCTTCTTTCTTTTTGTCTCTCCCAGCCAAAACTTTAAGGGCCTCCCCACACCACTCTCCAAATGTGAAAAAGACAAAAATGTGGTGGGTGCATCTGGTCATGTTCTAAGGGAGGTTCATTCTCATTTTGCAGATTTCGAGAGTGGTGTGGCGATGCCCTAAATGTTTCAACAGCTCTGACATTTTCAGTGTTGGTTGGTTGGTTGGTTGTGTCATTTTTTTAACATCAGATTCAAATGTTTGCACAGTTTTGACATTTTCAATGTTGGTTGGTTGGATGTGTGGTTTTTCTGAAAATCGCAGGATAACTTCCAGTGATTATCTTTACTACCCAATGAAGGAGCCCGCACCACCCAATGGACCAGTTGGTGTCTATCAATTTACTCCTGGGCAGGTCTATATGCTTTACGGCGATGTTGGTCTACAGCCATTCTTTGCGAAAGACACAACATCCTATATCAGGGCGATTAGGCCGCCACCCGTACCAAGCCCCATCTACAATGCTGCCTTGAAAGAGGTCAGGGAAATTGGAGGTCTAAATGGGAGTACCCGGACGAAGGAGCAAGACGAAATTCTTCTATTTCATGCACGTGAGTGCCGAACGAAAAAAAGACAAGGTAACAAAAAAAAACAAAACGCACGATTGTCGATCCCCACCCTCATCCCCGCCATGCTAGTCCTTCCACTTTAGTCTTTTCTGGTATTTAACCTTTTCTCTGAGAGCCAAAAAAAAAAAAAAAAAAAAAGAAACTTTTCTCAGAGGAGAGACTTAGTGCTATTTGTCATCCCTAAAAAAAGAAACTTTTCTCAGAGGAGAGACTTAGTGCTATTTGTAGAGACCGGATATCAACCCGGGTGGCCTAAAATCGTGTTGTAATTGCTTCTCTGAATGACTGAACGAGTGGGTGAGTGAGGATGATGTCCGTTGAAGCATTGTGACATACATGCGGACTCCAGACAGCAAACCAGAGGGTCTTCTTCTTCTTCTTCTTCACCCTTGTGTTTTCCTTCTTCTGCTTCTTCATCTCTGTCTTCACCACCACCTCTAGCACCCCCGGAGGATGTTACTTCAAAAAACAAAGAGAAACAACCATGGACGCGGCAGGTTTTGAGTTCACAAAAGCAAAAAAAACTTGTGCCGGCAAAGAAAAAACGCACGACTTCGAAACTTGCAATTTCAGTCCATAAGTATTTCTTGGGCTGTGTTTGTTTTCTCAGGGAAGCTCGTCTATGTCACATGGAAGTTTGTAATGGGCGAAAATAACACGAGTGAGCAACTTTCTCATGCCATTGGCCTGAGTTTGAAAAAGGTGGTTGTAACTCAGGCCGGCAGTGGTGTCAGGGTGGCGGTTTCGTTAAGGTGGTTGTCGCATGTTTGGTACCATCCGTTCCCGGGCACCGGCCTGTCCCACCTTTTCTTTTCTTTTTTTTTTCTTTTTTTTCTTTTTTTTTTTTTTTTTTTTTCGTCAGTTTTTTTTTTATCGCAGCCGTGGCCCAGCCGCAGGTATGGCCTAGATATCACCGACGTGGCCCGGCCGCTAGCATGGCCTAGACATCACGGCCTGGCCCACGCTGTGGCCGCAGGGTTCGAATCTTATCAGGCGTGGCAGTTCTTACTTGCAGAGAGATAGCTAGGATGTTGGCAGGGATATTGTGGAGGGATGGATCATGCGAGTTAGTTACCTTAGGGCTCTGCTTTGGCGGGGCAGGGCCGCAGATGGGATGGTTAGTGGGTCCCGTTAGTTGGGGTTGGGTAGACGAGTCCCGAGGTAGGGCTTCCCTGAGGGATAAACCGGAGTAAGCCCATTCGAGGATAGAGGTAAGAGGAACGGTTGGGGGGCCTAGTGCATACTGATGACCGCGACTGGTGCGGTTCGGGATGAGTACTATCTTGCAGTAGGGACTGTCTTAGGGATAGATAATGGTGGGATAGCCTGCTTCCCACATTGACAAATAGCACACAACCAACAACGATCAGAATAGCAATGGCACAACCACAATAATGCTACTAGAGAGGGGTTTAGGGGGAATCTATAGGGAGAGGGGCGGATAGGCGGCCATACATCTACTGATAATAGGCTAGACCCTCTAGGTCGCATTTACAACAGCAACGGTACATACAAACGAACCGTACAACAACTTAGGGGAGATAGGAATCGGTCCACCTATGGGACTTCCAGAAGAGCGTCTATACCTACCGCCTGAAGTACCCGTCAGACAGGACTCGCCCGAGCATGCTTCAATCAGGGTTGAGAGGGGTAAGTGGGGTCCTGCTTAACCCTGTGCCTACAACTGCTGTCCGGTCAGGTCACCCCCGTCAAGATGTCTGGAGAGTGACAATCCCGAGTCACTGTGGTAGACACTGAGGTAGGATCATTGGGGTTACCGTAGGGGCAAGCCGGGGAGAAATAATTGAAGTGGTAGGTTGGGAGGGAGTCTCACAAGGAATAAGGACCCTATAGACCATCTGGATAACCACATGAATTTTCTCTTTTTTTTTTTTTTTTTTTTTTTTTTTTTTTTTTTTTT